TGTTCCTTAGTACGGCAGCCTCGCCGCAATTATTATCAGCAGGAATCGGAGTCCGGAGATTACTCTTAGCACCACAGTACACCTCGAATCTGAACAGTCGCACAAACGCACACGATATTAGTAAAAGTAATAAATATGTTGGATTGGGAAATTCTCCACAATGTGGATGTTTGCCCGTCCAACATAAGCACTAACCCCAAAAAAAAAAGTGGCAAGCATTAGCTTGCCACCTTGAACGCACCTCATGCAATAAGCTGTATCTGCACACGCTGCCACGAACACCTTGGTCCCCCACTTGTGCGGTTTGTCCTTGTTGAACTGTCTGGTAGGATTGTAGCGGGATCTTGAAGGCAGCGTAGCTTCGTCAAAGCTAATGACAGGAGGAATCTTGTAGCCGCGCGCAAATGTACGCTGTAAAACCTCGATAACCGGCCGAATCTTCCATACACGATCCGTGCTAGCTTGAGGCGACTTGTTGTTGGGAGAGTGCAAGTATCCCATTATGTGGAAGAACCGGTTGCGGGACATGTACTTGCCGAAGCGTGGCGTTGGCAACGCACCAGCCGGTGTCAACTCCCAGTGAGCAGCAATCCCCTTTCGCACTGGAGACAGCATCCTTGCAATGAGAAGCGCGATGACGCGCAAAACCTCCCACGGTTCTATCGGCTTCACACGTGCTAGTCGCCGACGAATATCTGCGAGGTTCTCTACTTCTCCACCACCACGACGCTGCTTCGCTTGAATCGCCTGCGCACGACCCGGTATCGACTGCGTGTGGTAGCGATTGCTCTCGACGGCAATCTGTCTCCACAATTTTGGCTGTAGGTAGTAGAAGAACAGCGCCAGTGGGTCTTCAGCCACTCCAAGGACGCTCTCAGATGGTCCATAAGGCCCGTCGTAAAGGTCTTCATACGTAGGATTGTCTCCAAATTTGGACTGGTCTACAAATAGCACATCAAAGTGAGTTAGATAATGTTAACATTATGTTGGACAACGACGGAATAATAGTTGCGTATGTTGGATAGCGTTCAACATAACTTACCATACTCCCAGCCAGAATGTTTCATCTCCGCCAAACGCGCCGCATTCATCGCCACCGACTTGCAGAACGTGTCCGGTAGCTCAGTTCCAACGCAATCGGCTAACTCCTCATCAGAGAGTTCTCCAAGCTCCCAATCTCCTTCCCACTCACTGTCCGCGTCGTCATCGTCTGAATCAGGACCAGATTCCTCTTCTGATCCGAGGCCAGTGCACTCACGTGCACCAGCCGCCATGATGTTAGGATCACCGTCGACTACGCAGGCGACAGGGAGATGCGGGGCAGCTGACGCAGCACCGGTGTCTGTGGTGTCACTTATGGTGCCTTCAGCTTGAGCTTCGCGTTCTGGACTGTCTTGTAGGACGCGGCGGCGTCGTTTCGGGGATCTTTGCGTAACCGGCGCCTGCTTGTTCGTCCGAGGGGGGCGCAAGGTCTCCACAGCGCCTTGAGCATCTCGCACAGGCGTTAGAAGCGCACTTGAAGCCACAGCTGAAGCCACAGCCATCACCACGTCTGCTACAACTTCCTCCACCTCTGGTTCCACAGAATCTTCCTCATTTTCTGCAACAGGTATTACCTCTTTAGCTTCGTCCGTACTCGCTGTTGCTTCTGTCTCTTTGGGTGCTGCCGGCTCAATATGTGGACCTCTAGACTCTGCTATCTCCATGGCTGTCGTCGTAAGTTTCATCGCCTTCTTCCTAGACTGCTTCTTCAACGCACGCCCCTCAGCGCCATGCTTTGGCTCTGCTGCTGACTGCCTCTCGTCGTCTCGACGAAGGCGACGCTTGTGGCGGTCACTGAGGGCTGCCTTGCACAACCGGGTCTCTTCCGCTGTCAGCGTCCGTCACGGCATCTTGCCAGACGTCGCCACCATTCTGGTCTGCTGCCCCCGCGGTCGTTTTGAAGAATGAGAGAGTTTTGTGGCTGTCGGCCACCCGTTGGTGGTGGGTGACACCGCCTCTCTTTATCTCGTTCAATCAGGAATCCGGTCCAGCTACCCTAAGCCTGTGCATCCGGCCGTTTTAGGCTCCCACTTTTGTCTTGACTTCAGTATTGAGCTTTCCTGCGCTCTCTTGAGATCTGTTCAATACAAACCCCAATTCAGTTTTTCTCTTATGTTTAGCCGCTAAACATAACATAGATGCCGAAAAAAACTGAAAGAAGCTATACACCTCTTATGTTTAGCGGCTAAACATACGGGAACTAAGGGGTTAACTAAACAAATACTATTCATGTGTATTGAGAAAGTTTTTTTAAGCGATTAAGTCGACATTCAGGATTTGAGAGCCAACAGCAGTCGCAATTTAGAATTACAAAGATAATGCTGCGATGCTGGCATTCTTAGAGCGGTATTGAGATAGAATTGAGCAGCTAGCAGCAATTCCACGTTTTACTATAAGTGAAGGTCAAACAGATCTTATCCTACTTTAATATATATTTTAAAAATCAACTTCAATACCATTCAAACTGTGGTGCGATTGCAGCCTCAAAACGAAACGATAAATTAAAAAAAAACTATTTTCGAGCTAGCTAGTAGATAGAGCCCATCGCGACTTTTCAATTCATGCCTGTTGACTTTCAAATCTCAGCTTCCGCCAAGATACGGCCATTTAAAAAAAATACTTCGAAGTACTAGAGGCGTTGCCTTGGCTTGTGTTCGTTATGAAAAAAAGTGAAATTTTATTGTGCTTTGCACGTATTATGCAGAATTGGCAAATAAATCTCTATATGCTGAAATCCGCCCGGTGTCTAAAAACTATTCTTTATAAGATATTACTTTGCCTCAAAGTCTAAATTAGACCTCTTTGTTTTGCTAAAACGGAGGAAATACCATCGGTCAGTAGAAAACTACTGATCTGTCCCCAACGCGGCGCTGCCTGCACGACTACTGATTTCACAGCTACTGGAGTGCTGTTAAGTTCGCATTTGCATTTTTTCATAGTCCTGCCTCGTTTGGTGTTAAGTTCGCATTTGCATTTTCTCTTAGTCCTGCCTCGTTTGGTCTATCAGTCTCTGACTCCGGCGAGTTGGCTGCTCGCGACGCTGGGTTCGTCTTCCCCGCGTAGATTGATAGACCCAGACGAAATTGACTGACTCGTGTTCGAACACCATATTTAGGCGCGCTGGCACGTTGGCACTTGGCTCCCGCGTCAACTCTGTGTACCCCACCCATTGAATAAGGTAGTATACGAAGTTATTGACCCACCGTTTGGCGAATATTCTTTCTACCTCGAAGAGCTGAGCATTGTCTCCTCTACGAGCTCGGCGCTCATTTGCAAAAAGACCTCCTCCTCTACTGACAACGTCACGTAACCCACCACCTATAAACGATGCACGCTCGGCGTCCAGCTCTCGGTCGACTTCGTTCGGTATGCTAACTTTTCTGCTTAGACGAAGCTGCCAGAAGGAGCCGTACAGACGGCGCTGGATCGCTCGGGCGTGACGCTGTCGGGGGTTGAGCGGAGGCATCGACCAAAATGGCGAATGCCACCGAAGTGCACTCCACAAAAACAACCATATAAATAAAGGCGTTTTGAGCAGCTAAAAATAGTACACCGAAATAACATGTTGAGGTTGAAGTAGCTGGGTACACGACGTATCCAACTGGTTACTCTTAGGGTACGTTAGTAGAGCTCTATCTACTCACAGAAATTGACTCCCCAGTCCGTTTGCTGCTGATATTTATTGAGAGTGAGGATCAGTAAGATAATCTATTGGAAAGAAATACCTTAATTATTAATCAGCAGTCAACGATTGCAATTGTATGTGTCGTTAGTTTCCTTATTTGTGTTGGAAACTCAGTGTCTGCAATATTGGTTCGCGTCACGTATACTCCCCCATACTTTTGGCTGGAGCGGTCTGAGGTATCAACTTTTGCGTCCTCCCTCAAAACACCCATGATTATAGCTGTAGCGATGTCAGAAAGATCTACCACGAAGGGAGAACTCCCATAATTCGGAGGCGGCTTTCGAGGCATGGTACGCTTAGGGAAAAAGTGGTTTTGCTAAGGGCAGCAGAAATGTAGCTATGATTAGAGTTAGGTACGGATCGAACTTTATCATTTTTTACTGATTGCCGTCTTTTCTGCGCCGCGTTGGGGACAGATCAGTAGTTTTCTACTGACCGATGGTATTTCCTCGCTAAAACGCGGTCATATGACAGCCAATCCACTAATTTCGACTTGTTACATCAGACTAGCAATTGCGATTTGTGACCAATAAAAATCAGCTTTGCACGAAAGACTCTAAAATGCCACCCTGACCCGCCATTCCCGACTTGCAAAGCTGCAATATAGAGATCTCCGGATTCTGCTCGACATTTCAGTGCCGCAGGCTAATTTAACAGAGTTTTACAAATCAAACTCTCGCGTTTACGATAAAATAAAATAGTTTTAGAGTTCAATTTTATAATAACTTAGCACAATCTCTTCAGTAATTAGTACAGAATGAATAAGTCGCTGAAATTGGCCCTCAAAGCTTATTTAAGCACTCATTGTACCAAATTTGCCGTTTTGGTCATATTCAATAAGTCACTTGCTTGCAAATTTCTTAAGACGGCCTAGAACGTACTTCTGGAGTAGTAACAGCTAAGCTGCCGCTATATCGGAATACAAATCAAGCTAAGCCAATCACAGATTTGCGCTGCGTTTAATCATTGGAGCGAAACATATAGTAATACTCTCTCTCTTCTTAATAAATACCAATGCACCGGATAAGAATTATCGACCGAGCTTCTAAGCTTAGTAGCAGGATGGCATCTCTTAAAATCTTTCCACCGCCCGTTCCTTAAACTTACAGAGGCCTCCCAAGGTGCAAGATTGTTTGTTTGTTTGGTATCCCATTTTTGCCCAGTTGTGTAAACTCTTTAAGCAGGTACTCTGATGTCAGCACGGCTTTATCAAAAAAAACTTATATTTATCGTATCGGTGCTATTCGCGATATCCAAACAAACAAACGAAAATTCAGCGTTCGATTCTATGTTGGGCCAGCTGTGCCGCCCAATTCAGGAAAAGGTGCCTATTGTAGTCGTCGACGATTTGTTGGTACTTTCCCTTCATCTTGGGGTCCGTCACTTTTAAGAAGTTACGAATGTCGTCCAAAGTATAACCCTTCGCAGCCCACTTTCTGTATACGCCATGCGCCTTGCCAGAATCTGCCAGCAAACCGTTCGCCGCTGTTTTGACTTGCACCCTGTTAGCGATGTTTGTAATTGTCTTAAGTGCACCTCGTTCCTCCTCATTCTCTTTGCTTGTTCGAATTCTTTTCATGCTGGCAGCATCGTCCCTTCCACCGACGAGGTCTGGTAACGAAATCCTGGCTTGGGCAAAATGGGATGTCGTCAAGCAAACAATTGCAATGGCGACAGAGACGACAGAAGAGAGACGCATGGCTGCAAACGCTTGTGGGATGTCGATCTAGTGAGAAAAATGAACAATGACTACTGGTGTCATTGATTTACAAAAACATAACCGCTTTTGAGGTTTATATACGGTCTAAGTATGTTTTTCGGTATCAGGAAGTGTGGCTGTGCATTTTTTGCATGGTCCTACGCTAGAGTTAAGAAGGGGTGGGAAGGGGGAGGCGAACTCGAGTTCGTCAAAACTGCATTTTTGGCCCCTGTGTTTTAAAGACACCTCTATAGGCAGGTGAAATTAGGCGCAAGCTAAAGCTAGGTCAAGGCTTTCGCTTTCGGCGGAGGCCTACCATGCATTCGTACGTGTAGTTAGGAACTCAGGGCGCCGACTTCCCTGAGGCACTTGTGGTTTTTCGGAATTTGCGGCCCATGACACCCATCCCATCAGGAATAAAAGAGTAGGAGGGTGTTTTGTTTCGGTATCTCTAGCAAGAGCCGTCACCCGCCCAGGTGGCAGCCACAGCGGTCAACTGCTGTATTGGCTTTTCCTCAGAACCGGGTAATGTACAGCATAGAATCGGCTATGGTGCACACGTGTCATGGAATTGCAAGATCCTCTCAAATACGCCACCACGGGACGCCTGATTCGCCTACCTATGATGATAAACAAAACCCGTCTACAAGCGAGCTTCTTACTTTGTACAACCACATTTCTTGGTGGCCAAATACGCTTCAACTCACCACCCTGGAGTCTTCAGCACAGCCATAAAAATTATTTACACCTATTTCCTACATAAGTACTACACAATGGGCGTCTTTCAAAAATGGAGTAAACGCCCGCCTTATTCACTGCAGTTATGCCAGTGTTTAAACTCGACATAGAAGTCATGAGACGTAAATTCGTTCTCAGTAAAATCTCCTACTCCTAGCTTTACGCCGCCCTCTTGCCTTAAACGAACATATTGACTTTTGTATAAAGTAAGGTGACCTGCACTCTAACAGATAAACCATCACTCTACTAACATATATATTTTAAATTCCCGTCACAGTTCATTGTTAAACTGGACAGCAAGGCCACAAAGCACCGCCCCGGTATGTATTGCGATGGCTGAGGTGATGATAATATAATTTCTAACTGTAGCGTAATGTGAGCAGAGACTATGAAGCGCCGATCTCACTCGGTGTTGTTTTGGAAACAACGGTGCATTCAAGACACGTCGAGTGACGATGAAAATGTACCGCCAAATGTGCATTTGGGGCCTCGGAGCAGTGGCGCCAAGTCCAGCAGCGCCAGTTATTTTCCAGTTGGTTCAGAGACGGAAGAAGAACTGTTTTCTTTGTCGGGAACGATGACCACGACATGGGCGACACCGCGGCGAAGCCAGCGGCCCATAGAAACTGGTCTAAAGTCGCCTCCACAGCAAGATTCCCCCGGCATCTCTGTTGCGACTCCAGTCCCCGCTCGCTTCATTGCCAGCCCGACAACTTCGTCCCCTGTGTTGCTCGAGACGCCACCTAGTCGTGCATCTCGACCTCCTTCAAGGTCTCGTCCAGTTGTGTGCTCTGTTCTTGACAACCGTTCCAGCTCCCGCCAAGACCGTCGTATCACTCGCTTGGGCCACAGAACTCAAGCTGCGCGAGCTCAAGCTGAGCCATACTGTCGACCACGAGTGTCTCCACCTCGCCAGCACGAGCACTCGACCATCACCTCTTGCGGTCTCATGCGTACAAGTCCGGATCCGACATCTCGTCTGCGGTCTCCCAGCTCTCGTCCGCGACGAGAATTCATCCCAGCTCGATGGCTTAGTCGTGTGGCCCACCTCAGGGATCAGTAAAACCCGTTGGGAATTGTGTTCCCGCATGTTCCTCACTTTGGATCGTGCGGGTGCCGATCGGCTTGTCGTGTTGGCACATGCACCAACTCGCTCATGCATTTGTACTGCAATATCAACTGCTGCCCCTACTTGGGTCACTGTGGGAACGGTCTGGTGGAGTCAGCCAAGGTGTTCCTGGCGCGCAATGTACGAACGCGAGCTCTGGGCGTCGTTGCAGCGGAGACGATTGGGGTCGGAGAAATTCTGGGTCAGTATCTAGGAGAGCTTGAGCAAGTCAGCCTCGATCGAGCTAAGCGTCCGCGAAACACGGGGTATAGACTCCTGTTAGCGCAGCGGCCAGAACGTCCAAGACATCCGATTGCAGTGGCCATTAACGCGGAGCGCCTCGGGAGTCTAATGCGATTTGTGAACCATTCCTGCCATCCGCGCGCGCGCTTCGTTGAGGTATTGAACGAGCGCCGCACTACTGTTGTGGTGGTGACTACGGAAGTAATTCAAAAGGGCGAGGAGATCGCTGTGGACTATGGTGATGATTTGTGGTTTGTATGTCGTTGCGAGTTTCCGGACTGTCGCCACGTTGATATTCAAGACCAGCAGGACCCTTAAGCACCTATTGTGCGCGCGTCGGACTCACTTTGCGTCGTGCGATGAACAAGTAGGTGAGAAGAAGAGAGGATGTATATAGCTGTCCAATCATTTCTTTGGAGGTACTCTTTAATACTTGTGAATGTATCTATTTTGCTGGTTTTTATTGGTTTTGCAAGTAGATCTCGTCAGAATCTACAGCGGATGTGGTGTTCTTCGGCGACCTTTGGTTTCTATGGAATCTTTCGTGGACGAGAAGATCTTCGCGCCTTGTAGTGTGCTGCAAGCGCTGAGGTGTTTTCGCGCTCAAATTTCGCGCGTTGAAGCTGCGTCGTTGGCGCGATCTCTCCCAGTAGCTAGTGGTGGAGAAACCTTGCTTTCTGTATTTTGCAGAGATGACTGTTCTGCGCTATCACTGCTCAGTCTTTCATTTTTCAATTGCCGAGCCCGCAACAAGCCCAACACGAAGCCACCGTTGAACACAACACCTTCAGCCTATCAAAGTCAGTTGTCGTGAGCACATCGCGCACTTATGTGGTCATTTTTACTTAACTAACTAAATGTTCTCCTGCTACTGCTGTAGATGGTCAAAGCTACTGGAAGTACTAACTACAAGCTGGTCGAGATGAACCTGCTCCTTGAGCTGGTTGGCGAGTATCTACCGCTAGGGAAGGACGAGTGGGAACGTCTTGCGGGGGTTTACAACGTGCATCGACCTCGCTCTTGGGTGGACCGTGACTTCGAGAGCTTGCGCCGTAAATTTAAGGTGCTGTACAGCACTCACAAGCCAACGGGGTGTCCTACCATGCCACCGCACGTCGCAAGAGCCAAGGGCCTAAAGAAGGAAATTGACGAGAAGGCCAACGTCGTGGAAATGGACGATGAAGCCGACGTGGACGGCAACGAAGAGCAGCACTTCGAACCGGACACGTCTTTCGACTACCAGCCTGAGGATGGTTGCTGGAGCAATCGAGAAGAGTGCGAGGGTGGCGTTAACGTCGGCGGCGGCTTCTCGACTGGAAGTCTTTCAGCTGTCGAGAGTAACAGCAGTGATAGTTCTGCTGGTGGACAAGCCGATACGACCGAGGCGATCACCGTGCCTAAGACAAGTGCCGGCTACAATGAGTTTCAGGAACTTCTCGCGATGCCCTTGACTGGTGAGGGAACAGAGTCCACTTCGGGTTCTACTTGTTCGGCTTCGGCGCGCAGTGGATCTACAACGCGCATGCTTCGGTCAGCCGGGCAGAGCAACCCAGCAACGCACCTGCCTCCAGAGATTGTACAGCGCTGACCACGTCATCCAAACAGAAGAAGGCTGTGAAGAAACCTGCTGCCACGGGATTCAAGCCTGGTACTCGCGACGAGCAAGAAGCTGTGCGGTACGACACCTTGCTGGACTACTCAACTCGTTTAGGTGGATCGGACCTGTATTCCTTTCGTGATAACGTTGCATCGAAACGAGGACGGGAGGAGGAAGACGTCGACTCTGCCGAAGCCAGCTTCGTCAAGGTCAAACGCGCTAAGGCTATCAAGGCAACAAAGACTCTCAAGAACAAGTTGTGTGCCGTTGAGAGCGCCACTCACACCATGGGGTTGTGGTAAAGTGCTTTCTCAGAAATAAGAGAATGGGCCTGACGCGGGGTCACTATCCCGAATCAATGACAATTTCAAGTGATTAGAGAGGATTTGGGTTGGCTGGCACGGATGCAAGTTGCCGGTGGTGGATTAGCCATGACGAGCAGCGCCCCGTATGAAGTGAGGATGGATCTGGTATGAGCGATGTACGAGAAGGCAAGATCCACCAAGACTTACCTCGGATCCACCCTTACTTGGATTCACCTAAATGGATATGGGATATACTAAACAAGAGTGGATCGGGTGTGGATCCTATGAAGGAAGGATGGTAGGTGCCCTCTAAAGGTGGATCTAGTAGCCACGGCTAACGAGGAGTCAAGATCCACCGCGAGCTGACCCGGATCCCATGCTTTCGAGTTAGGATCCAAGGAGGGAGGATCCCGCCTTAAGGGACCTGGATCCAGGGTATAGGTATGATGGATGCAGTGGATCTAGAACTTTCGTGGGACAGTGGAGATCACAGACGGTTACGAGATGATGTTGGATGAGTGGAGAGCTCAGATCCACGACGAGTGTACACTTTCAAGTGAAGTGGATCCAAGCGACCTGGATCCTGATGAGTGTACCCATAAAAGGGTAACCATAATGATTACGCCATGGATCCGGTGGATCTGAAGATAATACAGCTGGGATGATGGGTCAAGGGAAGAAGGGACATGCAGCCGAGCCTGGTAAGGGATTTAGCAGATGAAAGACATAGAAGGTAGAAACCCAGGCAGGTATAGGCTTAAATATCAATACAGACCTCAATTTGCACAGTATCACGCAAGTGCCTTCCTGCCCTCAAGAACCGGAGCTACATTGGCCGTACGAGCTCCGAGAAGGTTGGGAATTGCGAATCTAGTGTTAGTAGTGATAACTGGATAATACATTGGCCAGATCCTACAACCTAGTGAGCTTTTCCTTTACTCGTGCAGATCCGACAGGTTAACCGAATTTACTACTTGGTCGGTTACACCCTAGAGGCTCTCAACTTTCA